TKGATCGATCCAAAGCCTTTTTCTGCTCCTTTGCTTCTTTTCTTCCATTCCTTGCTCCATTTTGCCTTAGACTCATTCCAAACGTATCATAACCTACAAAGACCCAAAAACAAAGAAAAGACTCAATAAAACATTGAAAACGAGGGTTAGAATGCATTAAAAACGCAACACATCAATCGTCTGCTCCGGCGTCTCACGCTGACTCCCCCGCTAAGATGATGGAACTGATGCGATCGAGCCCTCCTCCTCCACTCGAGCCGCCGCCGCCACGAGATTTTTTGGTGAGCCCTACGGTGGCTTAGGCTCGAGACTTTGTGTCTCAGTTTCAAAGCTTGGCAATCCCATCTCCATCTCCCCTGCCGAGATCCAAAGTCAACTTCCCTGGTACACAAAATCCCTTTCTTGTCCATCACCGTCGCTTACCAGATCCAACCGGAAACTACGCCGGCAAAGTTTCTCCCTATAGAGAACACTCTGTGCCCCCTCCTCTCTGTCCCACCTTCCCGAAGCCTCAATTATCGTACCTCCGGTGATGGTCTGCACCAGATTCTCCGTGAAAACCGGCCGGAGTGCTCGCTCCCTGCCGCTGTCGGCTTCGGCCAGAGAGTTCTCGGATCTCCTATCCAATCCACCACGTGAAAGGTTATGAAACTTGGGTTGTTCCCAATTGTTTTGAAACTTGGGCTTGGCCCATTCTGTTTGAAACTTGGGCTTGGCCCAGATGGATATTGAGATCTTTTAGCCCCATAGGCCCACTGCTTAATAATTTGGAGCCCAATTCAGTTTCTGAATTGTACTTGGTTATGTGTCCATACTCTCTATCAATCTTATTTATGGATGTTTATGACACTTTATTAGGGTTGTTATCGGAACCATATCCATGCTCCTCAACGTCTTTATATGCTTTTGAGTTTATTGGCTTCTCATTTTTTAGAAGTCCAAAGTTTTATGGATTCTCAAATCCTATAATCTCTTCCCTCTCATTGAGAGCCGTCGTATTTTCACATTTCTCTTTGAGAATGAGTGTTTTCCCGAGCTTTGTGTCGGGAACCCCTAAGAATTTTCTTACTGATTTTTTTCTTACGTAGCCGTATTTTCGGGACCAAAAGAAGCAACCGGGCTCGTCTTGACGAATACCGGAGTTAGGAGTTCGATTTCAACGTCACATATGAAAGTGACCACTTTGAGAATTTCTGGCTTTGCCGAGAAGATCATTTTGACGCATTCGAGGCACGCTTTGGATTCGCTGTCCATCCCTCGCGATGAATTATCTATCTTATGCTTTATTAAGTTTAAATTAGGGCTTTGATTGTTTGTAATTTTTGAAATAGTTTTTGGTTTTTGTTTTCCTAAAAACTATTTTTTATCCAATCAAGATTTTTAAAAAATAGATTTCCTAAAATTTAGAGAAACTAGTTTTTGGAGTAAACTACCCAATTCT